AGAAACGATGGGAACCACAGTGGACAGATGTCCCAGTTACTGTGCCTAACTCAATTTTTCACTTCAACTCGATTCGCAAATAAACGAAACAATAGAAGAAAAATCGTCTGTCTCGTTCGGCAAAAAAAACAAAATGAAGCATAATCACGCCGGAAAGCAAAACCGAAAGGGCGCAGCGATCGGTGTTGCCGCACGGTAACCGGCTCCGCTTGATAAAGCCATTACCGGCCGTAAACCGATCTAGCGCGTAATCTCGCTCGCGGGCCTTGTCCCGGGCGCTGGGGGCCTGTACCGTCGCGCGGCCTTGTTTCACCGTTTCTTATCGATCGCGCCCGCGCGGGCCTCTCTCGTTATGCCGCGAACAATACACGGCGGCCTAACCCGCTGCATCCTAATTAATATTCCCCGGCGGATCGTGCTCGCCGCGGTTCGCACTTTCTTAATGGTACACCCTTTCCATCGAATGGGGCCGCTCGCCCTCCGCCCGGAGCGTGTCCAATATAATTACCGAGCGAAAGAACGCGGGCTTACGATACAGGGATAAAGAGAGAGAGAGCGAGAGAGAGAGGGGGGGGATCGGAACGGTGATCGGCAGTGACTCGAGGCGGAAGAGGATAGGGGCACGGAATAATATCGGCTAAGATAATGCCGCGGCCGACGCGTAAACTACCGAGAAGAGGGTACTTGTGAATTAAGGGTGGAAGGGGAAGGAAGGGGATGCGGCGGGGGCGCGGATCGAAACGATGGAAGAATAGGAATATAAAGCGAGACAATCCGGCGCGAGACAAAGAGACGATCACGGTCGTCTCGTAAACTCAATTTAGCGGGCTGGACCTCCTCGGAGCCACGGAGGAGCACGTGGGACCCCGATGGGCCCCGCGCGCCGTCCGACTGTCCCGCGTTTCCTCTCTCCCCTCGCTCCGCCCGCGCCCCACCACCTCCGCCGTCGCCATTTTCTCTCTCTCTTGCTCCGCGCGGCCTTTTCCTGCGCGCTCCGCCGCAGAGGCACACCCCCACTTTCTCGGCGAGGGGAGGGGAGGGGGTCACGGCGCGTCTTCCGCCGCGTTCAGGTACGAGCAATCGTTAAGCGCTTGTTTTACAAGTCGTTTAGACGTGCCCGCCGCGATACGGCACTGTCTCCGCCGCAAGTGCCACGACACTTGTCTACGGGGTGTTGGGTTTTCGAGAACCGGTCCCCTCGGGGGCCCGGGGGCCCGGACTAGCCCCGCCGCCAGGGCTACCGAGAGCTGATAACGCCGGCGAGCTGCTCTGCTCTCTTCCTGCCGCGCTTATCCGGGTGTCCTGGTTGTGCGATTCAACCGACCGACGATCGGTCGTCGCTTGTTTCTCGCTCGATCATTTCGGCAGCCCTTGCGAGGGCAGCCAGAGCGAGTGAGTGAGTCGTTGGACAAGTCTGGATGGACGACGGCGGTGTGCTGGATCGATTTATCCTGGGAGGGTCGGAGAATGGCCGCGGAGACTTCGTGACGTTAACTTTGTTTTAGAACGTTTTGCAGTCGAAATGACGAGTTTTGAAATAGGAATTATGTATTTTTGTGTCTTACGTTTTTATTTTGTGTTGATAGTGTGTGTAGTTGGGCTTTCGTTGAGGTAGGATAATGAGAACAAAATGTAGGGTTTTAATTGTTTGCTAAGTTTTCTTTAGGTTTCTTTAGTTTTGTTGCTTTTGTTTCATAAAGTTAATTTCAATTTAATTTCGATTCAATTCCAAATTCAATTACAATATACGTAATTTCAATTTAATTTCAATTTAATTATACAATATAATTTCAATTTAATTTCAATTTAGTTTCAATTTAATTTCCATTTAATTCCAAATTTAATTTCAATTGAGTTCCAAATTTAATTCCAAATTTAATTTCAATTTAATTTCAATTTAATTTCAATTTAATTTCAATTTAATTTCAATTTAATTTCAATTTAGTCCTAATATAATTTCAATTTAATTCCAATATAATTTCAATTTAATTCCAATATAATTCCAATATAATTTCAATTTAATTTCAATTCAATTCCAATATAATTCCAATGGAATTTCAAACTCGATTTCAATTCATTCTCGAAACTTTTCGCACAATTCGACTCCGATTCAATTCCAAACTTTCGTTTCCAATTCGATGCGACCCATCCTCGCCGTTTTGCAATGTCGCGAACATCGAAGTCTCGTAGCCGGTAGTTCGATCGTTTCGTTTCGTTTCGCGGAGAGGAAAATCGGGCCCAGGACAGGAGAAGCGTGTGTATACGTTGATCACAGAGGTGAACAAGGGGGGGGGGGGCGGTACGGCGGTAGGTGTCCGCGAGCGAGCAGCGTCGCTCGAATAAACGTCTCGTACGCGCGCGATGAGTCACAAATCCTAATGAAAATAATAATGCCCGAAAGGATTCCGTTCTTTCGTGGCCGCGCGCGGCGCAACGCGGATAAATTTACTGCGCGATCCCGCCTCGGATAAGGCGCATACCTGGGGGACACCTCGTCCGGGGGTTATGGACCCTGGGCCCATGCAACGGGTGGCGTGGAAAGTACCGCGGGAGAGTGCCGGCGACAAGCCGGTCCTTCCTCTCTTGTTTGTCCCCCGTCTTGGAAACTACGTCGTCCGTCGTCGTCGTTCCGTTCCCCACGTGTGGGATCTGTTGCGTCTCGCGTCTCGCGGAGATAATTCTTCTGTCCCGGGACGGGGCACCGAGAGAAGAAGAACACTCTCCGGGAGAAGAACGAACACCCCTCCCCTGCGACCACCCCGGGCCACCATGGCCACGGCCAGATTTTCACCTGCCGAACGGATTTATCGTCGCCTCGTCGTTCCGGGACACCGGGGTCGGGGATCCTGGGAAGGATCACCGAGTCGATTCTCTCTCCTTTTCTTTTCTTCTTTTTTTTTACTCTTCTCCGGATCGTTTTTTGGTGCCGGCTTCTGATCCCGGCGACGATAATTTCGCGATTGACGCCGGGAACATCTGGCAGCGCGGCCCTCCCCCCTCCGGCCAACCAACAGGATTCATTCGAAATAGGAGACCCGGTCTCCCCCGGGCGGGTGGGTCCTCTGTTTCTTTTCCTTCACCCGCTGTCCGTCGCCCCTCCCCCCCCCCCGGGAACCGTGTTTCCACCGTTTGTTTCATTTCTCGCCTACCGTCCACGCTAATCGCGCGAAGACCCTCTCTCGCCCGGCGAAATTTTTTCAGTCGACGTACGTGGGGTAGTAGAGGCTGCGGGGTTTTCGCGTTCGCGATACCTTATAATGATCGGGGGAATTATCGAAGCGTATGGAGGTTAGGTTAAATTTTGGGGGGATT